GCAATTGTGTCTTCTTGTAGCAACACAAACACGGATGCAAACCGGTGACATTTGTGCTGAAAATGCCAAAAAATGAGAGAAACACGGTTCAGTGCATTGTCACCCCGCAACCATTTGTGCTCACCATTTCTCTTCTTCTGTTTATTTACCGGTATGTCTCCCTCAAGAGACAAGTTTAACAAATCTGTATGAGTAACTCGCAGCGACTGGATCTGAAGACTTTGCATCAGAATCTCTACATTTCAAATCCCATATGATTGTATCTGCTGACTGTCGACACCAACAGACCCAGACTGCATTAGACCTGGTCCAACTCACTCCCATCAGTCATCACGCCCAAATAATGTGCATTATCTATTCTCTTAGTTGGGAACACTAATGGAAGGACCATTACATTTTCTAATAACATTTGGATATAAAACATAACTTTTGGTATTGCATCTCAGTGTCAGCTCAGGGAGGGGCCGGATGATGTGTTTTACATTAACGACATTTTAGCCTTTAGCTCTTAGGGTATCACATTAATCTGAGCACTGACACCAGAGGAGGTTTTTGAAGGACAATGTGCTGGAGAGAAGATATAACAGTCTCTACGACCTTGACATCCTACTGCGAGAACGGAGGAACACTTCATCTATGTTAGACTCACTGTTGACGACCAGAGACACAAAAGAAAAAAATAATTTCATGAAGTATAAGTCATAAACGGAATGAAAGAGCTTGTCAGTGTCTTGTCTAAAACGCTCTGTTTGACTTTTATAGATAGCAAAACAACACTTTTTCCATACCTTAGTTTGAGTCAATGAGGTGTTTCATAATATCTTCACACAAAAAGCCATTCACAACTTTATCTACATGTAGCACAGTCTAAAATAGTTTCTGTAACTAATTACTGTTACTTGTTAACACTTGCTGTTTGCTGTAAACGATGTTTAGACTATAAAACTGCTATCACAACTTCCAAAAACCCTCATTAATCTTTTCAGACGACGTGTTTTGTCCAGTCAAAAGGTTTTGTTTAAAACCCAAAGATATTTTATTTATGACACAGAGAAAGCAGTAAATCCTTACAGTTGAGAGAGGCTGAAGCTACGTAACGATTAGCATTGTTGCTTGAAAAATGACTTGGCTGAAGCACCTGCAGCTGATTGTCTCATCGACGCCTCAGCCCTGCAGTATTTAACCCCTGCTCCTTCCTCCTGACTGATCGTTCAGTCTCCTCTGTGTTACAAGTGATATGGCTAACGTTTCAGCCTGCCAGTAGTTTTTCTGTGCGTTGCCTTTCTTTGTGTTACTAACTCGCTTAAAAAACATCCCTCCCTGGCTCCTGGTCTCTGTTTGTTTTAATTAAAAGATTATGAGAAATGCTTCCAATTAATTTTCTGTTGATCAACTAATTAATTAATTAACTTATTGTAGCTTTATTCCAAATCTGATCAAAGTAATCTAACTTCTTCTAGCTGTACTTACACCTTTTTATAATTTTGTAATTGTGTTTTGTAACTCCATTATCTAATGCGTTCACTGACATTAATACTACCACTCTAGGCTGTGAATGAATTATCCATTTTCGTGCTCTGCTTGTAGTTTGATCTCATTTTGTCTTGATATTTATTTGATATTGATATTTTATTTATTTATTTTTCCTTTTTCTTTTGGTTTGTTGTATGCAGTTGTCTTGGTCAAGTTTTTTTGTGTGATTGTGAACCTTCTGTTGTTGAGGACCCCCTTAAAAATGATATGGTACATTTCAAGGGGATATTCTTAATAAATAATTTCCAATTAAAGTACAACTAAAAAAATAATCTGAAGAAAGAATGTGATACGAACTCTTTTTAACACATTTTTGTCAATTTTTAAAAGTATTGAAGCTCTTCAACTTCTACTCTAGAAATAAACTGCTCTCCCTTCACAGCTTTTAAAGAGTCAGGGGCATCAAGGGGGGCTTTGGTGCCTCCTCTGCTAGTGGCCCATGATTCCTTGCTGCAGCCCTGTGTTGTGACAAAACGCTGCCACTCCAACCAACGAATGTAAATGCGCTGCATGTCTGAGGAGCCTATTAACCGCCTCGCTCTCCCTCATTCCTATTTCAAGTTATTAACATGTCCAAGGACAATCTCCTGTAAAGCCACTTAGGAGCCCACACATCATTCAGACTGTTATCATGGAAACAAATGCTCGACAAATGTCGTCTGGGCCTCTGTGGCTCGTGCCTCTCATCGGGCTGAATACCACAGACTAATAATGGGAGAGTAACTGAGGCAAGATGGATGCTGCCGTAGTAGAACTGTGACCCTCTGTCAGCTGTTGGCCCTGAGGGATAAAGTGATTCCAGCACCATACATGAGATTACAGTGAGTGCATTAGACCAATCCTGTTCCTTTAA